TAGAAAGGTGTCAGTTGTATCAGGGTTGCCCGTAAAAAAATATTTTTTAAAAGTGTATTTATTTGGTCTGTCTGGTCATGTTCCCATTAAGATAGCAGGAAGATCCTTCTTAATTCAAGTAAATTATGATGCAACAATAATATCTGTCTTCAGAAAACTAGTAGAATCCATGCAGCTGGAAAACAAAATCCCCAAGTGTCAGTGGAGTTAGTGGATTATAATTACCCCAAAGTATTCTTTTTTTTTAATTGGGGTGTAAAAGACTTAAAATACAATCATCTTTGAAATACCATGTCTGAGCATCTAGTGTCATACAATCTATGTTCCATTAGCTTCCTTCTTCAATCTCCTCCTACGTATGGAATCTTAAGTCATGGTGCAGTGATGTAACATATTAGTTGTAAAGTCAAGAATCACTAATTGTGATAATGTATGTATAGACACAATAGCATAGTATCTCAAGTTATATCATCAAAAGCTTGGCTTCTAATACTATATATGTGTATTACAGTAGATATGTTATATACTTAAGTACTTTAGTACTTAAATATGTTCAATAACTTCTAAATAACACTTTATGAGTTCACACTTCAATCTAGAGATAATAAATATGAATGAATAAATAAATAAATAAACCAGTATAAAATCATCATTCCAAGCAGTGATCTGATGGTAAAGCCAACTAAGATTTGTATTCTTAATGGTAGAAATTTTCTGTAGCCTAAATCATATATCTATATGTTGCTTTCTATGGAGATAAGAAAGTGCTATAACACACAGCCCAAAGGATTTCTAAGTTTCACAGGATAGGCTTATGTACACTCAAGGTTCCCTTCACTTCAGAGATGGTTTAAAATATATGCTACTTTGTAATGTATCTCAACAATCCATTTAAAACAGACAGCAAAGTAATGATCATAAACACATCAACACCATAGCCTAATAGCTTAGTCATGACTAGCGATAGCTTAATTGTGACATTGCTATGACTATGTATTGGAATTTTCTATGAGAAAACTTTGTTCATTAAAAAAAACCAAACCTATAACATCATAGAAAGATAAAAATGAAATACTTCCATACCAAAAACATGTATTTGCCAGGCTAGGTAAAATCTATTTACTATTTTTTATATTAGCAACTTAGATGCTATCTTAACCATGTTTACCATGCGTTGACAGGAAGAGGGATTCAGATATTTGTTTCCAATTAGATAAACTCTGTCTTTTAGAAATATGGGCATCCTCATCTTAGCAAATTCTGTAATAACAGGAATATCCATTCTGAATGAATATAATCTGTACACACAAGCTTTTGCTGAGCTTTTCTTTGACTTTACTGGTGTTCTAGCATGTCAGTAACAGGACAAAAAATAGTCTCTAACTAAAGGAATTTCTGTTCCTTTCTGCTATAGCACCACTTCAGATCAGCTTTAGCCTTTCTTCATATCAGCCTCATTAGATAGAATCATTATCTGTGTTCAGAATCCTGGAAGCAGAACATTTAATGACCCAAATAAACCAAAAAAAAAAAATTACATACATTTGCACTAGGGAACCAGGTGGTGCTAAAGAGCAGTCTGATGAGCTAGAGGAAATAATTTTTGAAATATAATACTGTTTTCCCAGGCTCCTGTTAAATGACTATCATCTTGCACCACACAGAATATGCTTTCCTGAGGTAAAGTCAATGAACTCAGTGGACCAGGATGGAGTCCATTTCTCACTGTCTGTCTACCTTACTTTACCTTATTCCCCTTCATTTTAAAGGAAAGTCCCACCGCAACACAAATAAAGATTAATGTAGTGTAATGCTATAGAAATGACTACACAAATCTATAAATTCTGAAATTAATAGGATGTCCTGGGTTCAGCAGTAGCAGGCATTTTTCTCCTTAGTAGCTTGTGCAGCACTGTGTTTTTGACTTCCATCCTGGGAACAGCACTGATAGCACTGATGTTTATAGTTGCTGCTCAGTAATGTTTACTCTGACCAAGGACTTTCTGAGCCTCATACTCTGCCAGGGAGGAGGGGAAGCTGGGAGGAAGCAGAGACAGACACCTGACCCAAACTAGCCAAACAGGTATTCCATACCACAGCCCATCATGCCCAGTATATAAACTGGGGGCAGTTACCCGGGAGGGCTAGATCACTGCTCAGTCAGGCTGGGTATTGGTCAGCGGATGGTGAGAAGTTGTATTCTCTTCCCTTGTTATTTCCCTTATCATTATTATTGTTGGCGGCAGCAGTAGTGGTGTGTGATATACCTTAGTTACTGGACTGTTCTTATCTCAGCCCATGGGAGTTACATTTTTTCAATTCTCCTCCCCATCCCTCTGGGAGCCAGGGGAGGAAAAAGAGGGGCAGTGAATGAGCGGCTGCGTGTTTTCTGGTTTGCTGGCTGGGCCTAAACCACGACAGTTCTTTTTGGTGCCCAACATGGGGCATGAAAGCTTGAGATAACGGCCGATCTGACCAGAGCATGTCTAATTGTATTTGTGATAAGCATTCATTGTTTCGGATTAATAGTCACTCGTCACAATGCTGATTTATTGGCTCTCAAAGTTGTTGCTCTTGATCTCACAGTTTCAGCATATCGTACCTTAGTTACAGCCGGTATTTGCTGTCTTAATGTTTATTGGCTGGGGGCCTTGGGCTAAGGTTCTTGTTTCATTTTACTTTGTGGTAATGACTTGTAATGCAGTAGACTCATTGATCATGAAACTGATCTGGCTTGCGTTCCCAGTGTGGTCAGTGGGAAGCAAGATGAAGAAACAATGTACTCACTATCCACACCATCTGACCAGGAGTTATTAATATGTGAAGCAGAGGAAGAAGAAGAGGTGACTTCTTGACTTCAGACCTCAACTGAGCTACGGAATATGTGAAAAGATTTTACCCATCAACCAGGGGAGCAAATCATCACCCTTTGCTCTGATGCTGGGACAATGGTGCCGACAGTCAAGAACTAGAAGGTACAGAAGCCAAGCATCTGGGATCACTTGCTAGAGAAGGGGGAATTGACAAAGCAATTGCAAAACAGAAACAGTTCCTCAGCCTTTGGAGGCGGCTCTTGGCAGCTGTGAAAGAAAGGTTTCCATACAAGGATGATGTTATGAGTCGTTCGGCCAAGTGGACTACTATAGACAAAGGCATCCAGTCTCTGAGGGAATCAGCCATCGTAGAGATGATCTATCACATCAACCTGAATAACGGGGATATATCCATAGATCCAGATGAAGTCGAATGTACACAACCCATGTGGCAGAAATTTACACAGAATACACCGTCATCATATGCTGTCGTAGTTTATACCCTAGCCAGACAGCTTGTTCACTCACTCCCAGTGAGTGGTGCCGGGCTGAAAGCGATCGGGGCCCCCACAGGGCTCTCCCCTTCCCCACTTCTGTGAGGGATGGGGAGGAGGATCAAACGAGTGCAACTCCCACGGGTTGAGACAAGAACAGTCCAGCAACCAATGTACAACACACATCACCACCGCTGCCACCAACGACAACAATGATAAGAGAAAATAACAAGGGAAGAGAATACAATACCACTCACCAAGAAACAAGTCCGACCCTGAAGCCCCTGTCCTTCCGGGTAACTCCCAGTCACCCCCCACCCCGGCCATGACGTGCTGTGGTTTGGAATACCTCCCCGGCTAGCCCGGGTCAGGCGCCCCGTCTCTGCTTCCTCCCGGCTTCCCCTCCTCCCTGGCAGAGCATGAGCCTCACAAAGTCCTTGGTCAGGGTAAACATCACTTAGCAACAACTGAAAACATCGACTTCACCAACACTGTTCTCAGGCTGGAAGTGAAAACACAGCACTGCGCCAGCTACCAAGAAGGAGAAAAATGACTGATACTGCAAAACCCAGGACATATGCCCACTCTTTGGCAGCGATAACCTGGAATGGTATGGCACCACCAACAGTGGATGAAATGGTTCATCAGCTCCGAGAGTTCGAAGACAATCTTACCCCTTCCATCATCTCAGCTGTGGAAAAACTGTCCCAGGACCTCAAACAATTGAGATGATCTAGCTGATCTATTCAGTTCACCACATGTACCAACCCATGTCTCAGCTATTAGCAAAAGGCATCCTATTGTTCAGGAGAGAAGATATAGGAGGTATACGCCACAGGCTATCCTATGGTTTTACCTGCGGGATCATGGAGAAGACATGAGGAAATGGGATGTAAAACCTACCTCAGCTTTGGAGGAACAGGTGCATGAGTTGAAAAGGAGAACAAAGGTCAAGGCTGATCATCCCATGAAAGCTTCAGCGTCAGTCTCTGGTGAGCAGTTTCCCAGATGGAGTGGAAGAGCTGATTTTACTCCACCTCCTGTGATAATGAAGAATAATCCCTTTCACCATGACTTAAGTGTCCAATGCTGTGATGACCATTAGAGGGGCCCTGCCTCCAGCCAGGTGGAGGTAGGGGACAATCGAACAGAAAATCCCAGTCATCCAGGGATTCTAGAAGTCATCATGGACTGGCCAGAGGGCAAAGATTTTGGAATGTCACCAGATGAGGAGGTGATGTGTGCTGAAGAGGCCCCACCATATAATAAACTGTCAGAAAGTGAAAAACAATATGCCTTGTTCACTGATGGGTCCTGCCGTATTGTGGGAAAGCATCGGAGATGGAAGGCAGCTGTATAGAGTCCCCCACAACAAGCTGCAGAAACTGCTGGAGGAGAGGGTGAATTGAGTCAGTTTGCAGAGGTGAAAGCCATCCAGCTGGCCTTGGACATTGCTGAATGAGAAAAGTGGCCAATACTTTATATCTCTACTGACTCATGGATGGTGGCAAATGCCCTGTGGGGGTGGTTGAAGCAATGGAAGCAGAGAAACTGGCAACACAGACGGAAACCCATCTGGGCTGCTGCACTGTGGAAAGATATTGCTGCTTGGGTGCAGAACCTGGTGGTGAAGGTACGCCACATAGATGCTCATGTGCCCAAGAGTCGGGCCACTGAGGATCACCAGAACAACCAACAAGTGGATAAAGCTGCTAAGATTGAAGTGGTGCAGATGGACTCAGATTGGCAACATAAAGGTGAATTATTTTTGGCCTGCTGGGCCCATGACACTTCAGGCCATCAGGGCAGAGATGCAACATACAGATGGGCTTGTGATTGAGAGGTGGATTTAACAATGGACACTATTGCCCAGGTTATTCACGACTGTGAAACATGTGCTGCAATTAAGCAAGCTACACGGTTAAAGCCTCTTTGGTACGGAGGAGGATGGCTGAAGTACAAATATGGGGAGGCCTGGCAGATTGACTATATCACGCTCCCACCAACTCGCCAAGGCAAGCACCATGTGCTTACCATGGTGGAGGCAACCACCGGGTGCCTGGAAACATATGCTGTGCCCCACACCACTGCCCACTATTCTGGGCCTTGAAAAACAGATTTTGTGGTGACTTGACACCCCAGAGAGAATTGAGTCAGACAATAGGATTCATTTCTGGAACAGCCTTATGGACATTTGGGCCAAAGAGCATAGCACTGAGTGGGTATATCACATCCCCTACCACGCACCAGCCTCTGGGAAAATCGAACGGTACAATGGGCTGTTAAAAACTTCACTGAGAGCAATGGATGGTGGGACTTTCAAGCATTGGGATACACACTTACCAAAGGCCTCCTGGTTGGTCAACACCAGAGGATCTGCCAACGGGGCTGGCCCAGCCCAGTCAGAACTTTTACATATTGTAGAGGGGGACAAAGTTCCTGTGGTGCACATAAAGAATTTGCTGGGGAAGACAGTCTGGGTTGTTCCTGCATCAGGGAAAGGCAAACCCAGTCATGGCATTGCTTTTGTTCAGGACCCAGAAATACTTGGGTAATGCGGGAAGATGGGGAAGTCCAATGTGTACCTCAAGGGGATTTGATTTGGGGGAAAACACACAATGAACTCAATTGTATGCTATTGCCTGTTATGTAGCACTTTTATAGCCCACCAACTAGATGTCTTCAGGTCACCAGTGATTGGCCCTGACTTCCCTCCAACCATCACTCCAACAAAGAATGAACTTTGATTAAACCAGACAAGTTCTGCGATATCATCAGCAGGCAACAATTCAACACTGCACACAGCCTCTCCTGCTCTGAAAGACTATGACAAGAGCTGGAGCCCAACATCATGGGCCAGATGGACTCAGCAGCTTTATAGGGATTGGTCCATGCACTAAGGAATGATTTCTCTCTCTCTCTCTCTGTATGCATGTATATATGTGTATATATATGAGATAATAGTGATGGTATATTGAAAATGTGGGATCTGAGTAGAATGTGAAAGGTATGGAATAAGGGGTGGATACTGTCCTGGGTTCAGCAGTAGCAGGCATTTTTCTCCTTAGTAGCTTGTGCAGCACTGTGTTTTTGACTTCCATCCTGGGAACAGTGCTGATAGCACTGATGTTTTTAGTTGCTGCTCAGTAATGTTTACTCTGACCAAGGACTTTCTGAGCCTCATGCTCTGCCAGAGAGGAGGGGAAGCTGGGAGGAAGCAGAGACAGGACACCTGACCCAAACTAGCCAAAGAGGTATTCCATACCACAGCCCATCATGCCCAGTATATAAACCGGGGGCAGTTACCCAGAACGGCTAGATCACTGCTCGGTTGGGCTGGGTCTCAGTCGGCAGGTTGTGAGCAGTTGTATTCTCTTCCCTTGTTATTTCCCTTATTATTATTGGTGGTAGCAGTAGTGGTTTGTGTTATACCTTAGTTACTGGACTGCTCTTATCTCAAACCATGGGAGTTACGTTCTTTCGATTCTCCTCCCCATCCCTCCAGGAGTGGAGGGAGGAAGGGGAGGGAGGGAGCAAGTGTTTGCGTGGTTTTTGGGTTGCTGGCTGGGCTTAAAACATGACCTAGGAAAACAGATTTTATTCTCTAAATTTTTACATTCCCAACATATTTTGTAACACTGTAAAGGGAGTATTGTTTGTTTGTTTATTTAAATGTTGTAAAATTATATCCAGAGCTTCTGTGAAAGAGAGTATTGGTAAGGGGTGGAGGCAGGACAACAGATAGTACTACAAAAATTGGAAACCTTCCACTTGACATTAGTCTCTGCTATGCTTCCAGAGATAAATGGATATTGGACAGTAGAGTGAACTATCTTCAGTTCCTTTACTGTTGCTACCACAAGGGACAGTGGAGTGGATGTTTCTTTTTTGTTTATCTAATGAAGCTTCCCTGGAAGAATTAAAAGGACAACAGTCTATCTGGGAGCTAAATGACCTCTATGAGTTTTTGAGATAAGCCTTTGAGAAACAGATGAAAATATAACAAAACAAAAAAAAACTCAAGCAAAAACATTTCCCAGATGATTAAAAAAATGAACATAGCTACCACATTGATGGTGTTATGAGAAAGAGCATCTAGATATAAAGAAGACAGATGGGCCTGAAACATGGAATAAGAAACAGATGGAGATAAAGCTTTGCACATGTAAGTGAAGGAGACTTTTCTTTCTTTAATTTTTAGTCAGAATAAAGGTCTCAGTTTCAGAAATCTTTTATGGGGTGAGAGAACAGAGATAAAAAAAAAAAAAAAGTAGTGAGAAAGAGAATGTCCAGTTCTGTGTCTCTTACTGACATAAACCACAGTGTCTTAAGTTAATGTCTTTCTGATGTTTGTTTCCTATAATCAGTGAACTCAGAGATGGGAACTGATAGTCTCAGATATCTCAGATAATGAAACCTTTTATTCAGACTCTGAAGTGGGCGAAGACAGTGTGGGTATCCACTGACTTTTGCTGTGAGTTTTTACCAATCCTGACAGGAAATGTAGTCCTAAAACAATGAGTGGGGATTTTTTTTTTTCATGGTCCAGAGGCTCTCTTAGGAAATTTTTAGATGGTTCCCATTATGCAGGTAATCTTTAAGATCTAAGCACTGCCTTATACCTGTCTTCTAAACACTGGCATTGAGCTATATGACAGAATTACTATCACGGTAGCCATTGGCAGGGCTGAAGACTCAGATACACTTAAGTAAGTGATGTGTTTACAGAAGATACCTCAGATGACAGTTTGTTTCCTAACTCAAGCATGTCCTTCCACAGGCCTTCCTCTCACTGAACCTCCCTGCAGATCTTAACGGAGCTTTGCTGCTTGATTACTACCCCACACTGATTGTTAACTGTTTCTGATAGGCAAATCAGGATGGTTAACAGCTGATTTTTTTTTATTTTTTTTTTTCCCCTCTCCTTTTTTGCTTTTTTGGTTTAATCACATTATGAGGTCAAAATATGCTGGAGATTTTCAGGGTCCTCACTTCTGAATGTTGGTTTGCTCTCCCTAAGGAGCCTTTCAGCGTGCCTTAATACAGGCGTGGACCCTGCCAGGTGACCCTAGCTGACAGTCATAGCCAGACACACTGTCCCACATCAAAGACAACTAACAAAATCTATCATTAGGCTGGAAATTTAAGCAGCTCTCTTAATATCTCATGTGTATTTTACTGGATTCCATAATGCAAAGACAAAAATAGAGATGACTAAAATAGCACTTGTTCAGATTATTATCTGAGATGTTAATAAATGGAGGGCTAACACTAAGGGATACATTCTGCTTTTGGGTCCCTGGAATCCCACAGTGGTAGCTGAACTTTTATTCTGCACTTGCTTCCAACTCACTTCAAAAATTTTCTTCAAATAAGGGAATGTAGGCAATTTAACAAAGGAATAATGGTAGCCCCTCAGATATCTGTCATCATTTCCAGGGGTAAATTTAAAGTTTAGGACATATTTTTCAATTGTGAGAAGTCAGTGCTGAGTGCAGTTTTTGGATGCTGATGAATGTGAAAGCACATCGACATTCTCCAACACTTGACTGAAAATCAAGATAGTACTGTAAGTCTCGTTTTGCAAACAAAAGAAGATATAAAAACTTGTTTGTCAGCTTTATCCATGTGATAGTTGTGAACAGTAGCTATCTGAAATTGCAAATACCACACTGGCTCACCACTAGGAGGTAGAGGATAGCTACTGGTGACACCAAGCCTGCAACAGGCACTGATATGATGAAGCCATAGCACTTGATCCTTCCCGCTGGGCTCCCCTAGCAGGCAAGAAAAGCTCCCCAATCCTCAAGAGCATGGAAGCAGGCTTGATTTGTGTTGCATGATCAGAACAGAAGGTTTGTTTTATTGCCCTCATCCTGGATGCTTAACCTCAAACCAAGATCTAGCTAGCAGCCTGGTTCATTTGTCTACAGTCCTAGAAGTTTCTAACGGTTTTATTCCTATTTCTTACATATCAAGAACATGGAGCATAGGATTAATAAAACACATCCCACCACCATGCACTAAAGACATGTTTTATTTGTGTGTCATGTCTTTACTTTTGCTCAATTTTCTTAGTTCTGCTACAGGGTTTGAACTTACCCAGCATGGCAAGGTGAAACTCCATTTAATGCAATCTTCAGCCACAGGCATACCTTTTAATAAAATCTAAATGAATATAAAATGGATAGTAGAAATATAAATATAAATATAAATAATATAATATAAATATTAATAATACCTTTACCAATAGGGATTGACAATCCCACGGGTACAGATTAAGCAATAGAAAGGAATCACTGGACCTAGCCTTGCTATGGCTGCCACTTCTGGGAGAAGTTATAACTCATGTTTCAAATTAGGAACAGAGAACATAATTTCAATTGCTCATAAAAGAATTATGTTACTTATGATAAATTAGTAACACTGGAATTTTAGCAGGATCACTGTGACTGGCTCTTTATCTCACACAAAAAAAAAAGGCTGTTATGATTAGCACAATGGAATGAATATAGTGGATTGCCTTGAATTGGAAATATTCTTCAAAAAAAGTCTATAAACAACTTCAGAAATCTTTGACAATCAACTTGTTAGGAACTCATGAAATCAATGACAAGGATAGGCCAGCTAAGAAAGACAAGTGCAAGAAGACCAGTCCAATAGATGTAACACAGACAGTGGTACATATTCAAACACTTATCCCAACATTGTTGAAATGCTGATGATCTGAATGCAACTGGCTCAGTGCAGGGTTCATAAGCTCTCAGAGACACTGGTATTGCTTATGTTGAATTTCATGTAGTAAAAGATTTTCTTATGCAAAAGAATGAACATATAACCATGTTCTACAACACATAGTAAAAGAATCCTGTTTTAAGCTTCTG